TTGCAATAATATTTTGTCGATTTGCTTGGTTGTAGCTTTCTTTTTTTAATATTAAAATACAAATAATCTAATTATAAACATTCATTTAGTGCTCATTTAATGCATTATTTTGTTTTATTTGTCTATCAAATTTATATTACTATTTTTTTTTTAACAATTCACTAAATTTATGCATAATTCAGGTATAATAAACAAATTATTCATTCACATTTTATTACTTATTTTTTAATAAGTAATAATTGATTTTTCACTATTTATTCTATTAATCTCATCAAATTTTTAATAAGTTTTTCATAATTCTCACTTTATTTTTATTATTTTATTTTAATATTAAAATAATATTTTATCCGTTGTATAACATAAATAAAAAAATAATACTCCCTCCGTCCCACATACCGTGTATGTTACACTGTAGACACGGTATTTTAGGAGAGGTATAATTAGTAGATAATAAAGAATGTATTAGTGAAAATAATTATCCTATAATATAAATAATTATAAATTAAGGTTAAGATAACTAATTAATTTAATTAAAATTTTAAAAAAATAAATTAAAAAGTTTAAAATGAGATTAAAGTGTGTAATCATTTTCCAAAAAAGGAAAGTGACGTGTTATGTGAGACGGACATAAATGACAACGTGGATATGGTACGTGGGACGGAAGGAGTAGTATTTAATTGAAAATGAGTATAAGGTTGAATGTAAAAGACTAAATTATTTGAAAATTTCTAAAAAGTAGTTTAAAGTAATAATTATGGGTAATTGTGGAAAAGTAACAATAATGTTGTTGTAAAGTGGAAACCACTGTTACTAAATAAGGAAACAAGACTATTGTTTTCGAATAACCTTTTATTATTACTTATTTTTAATAAATAATACTACCTCCGTTCCACATTAGATGTCTTGGTCACGGTAGACACAAGAATTTATGAAAAATATAATTAGTAGATAATTAAGAATGTATTAGTAAAAATAATTAACCTATAATATAAATCATTATAGATTAAGAATAAGATAACTAATTAGTTTAATTAAAATTTTTTAAAAATTTTTGAAAATTTAAAATAAGATTAAGATGGGTAATTATTTTACAAAAAATAAAAGTAACATGAGATGTGAGACAGACAAAAACGACAACATGAACATGGTAAATGAAGTACTAATCAATTTTTACTACTTATAATATCTAGCTCATCATTTTTTATGTAATACTTTCAACTTATTTTTTCACTCACTATTTTTATATTAAAATATACTCTCTCCATTATTTTGGGCACGTTACCGTATATATGAAAATTTAGATAAAATATGATTAGTAAGCAATTAAAAATGTATTAATAAAAATAATTATAAATTAAGATTAAAATAACTAAATAGTTTAACTAAGATAAATAAAATTTATAAATTATGATATTTAAGATATGATTAAACTGTATAATTATTTTTCCAAAAAATAAAATGACAAGGACTGACGAAAATATAAAATAAAGACAAATTATGTGGGACAGAATGAGTAATTTTTTAGTCTTTGTGTTTAACTAAACAATATAATTTTTGTAGATAAATGGAGTAGTATTTTATTGATTAGTGAAAATATATAAGAAAACTTTGCTAATTTTTATTTTTATATTTTAAATATGTAATGATATATTTGTAATTTATATAATCTTTCCGTGTCATTTTTCATTTCCGTCCCTCCCAAAAAATAAAGTTACAATTTCCTAATTTAGTAATTGACTACATACCTAACATAACAAATACCTTTTTAACTTACAATATATTATACAAATATTATTTCATTTATATTACACAATATCAATAGTGTTGTTTTTGGTTTTGTTTTTTTTACTAAAATTTATTATAATACTAATATTTAAAATGTACTTGGAAAAAGTAAACGACAACTTTTCCATGCGACATAAAAAGTATAAAAATTTAATATTATTTCAGCATTATTGTGTAATTCCTTTTATTATAATAAAAAAATAAATTCATTTATTTGGAATAAATAAAATTTGATAAAAGTAAAACATTAAAAATGAACAAAAAAAAATATATATATATATTTTTTATTAAAAATAGTAAAAATCACATGATAAAAATATTAAAATAGAACTAGAAAAGCCATACCAGCATTATATGTACTCTTTTTATGAAATGAAAAAAAAAAAATAATAGTTTATCCAGTGCGTACTTTCGGGTAGCGACTACATATTTTCATATCGTAAAAAAAATAAATAAAAATAATGGTTGGAAAAGTTGGTGGCAACTTCTTTGGTGTTACTAAACATATTTTAAAATTACAAATACTCACAAATCATAATTTACGTTACAACATTGGAACAATACTTTCTCACTTCAGTCTTTGTCGTCATATATATATATATATATATATTTGTTTACTTGGTATTTCTTTTAATTTTTATGCTTCACATTTTTATGAGTTTTTTCTTTTTGTAATTTTAATTTAAAATCAATGCTATGCACTCTATACAATTTTTAATTAATATATATATATATATATATTTGCGAAAATCACAAAGGTGTGTTTACTTTTACAAATTTTTACCTAATTTTACTAATTTAATTTTTTTTTTTGCCTTAAAAAATATCAAATTAAATATTACTATCTCTGTTCCACATTGGGTGTCTTGGTCACTGTAGACACGAGAATTTAGGATAAGTATAATTAGTAGATAATTAAGAATATATTAGTGAAAATAATTAACCTAGAATATAAATTATTATAAATTAAAATTAAAATAACTAATTAATTTAATTAAAATTAAAAAAATAAATTAGAAAATTTAAAATAAGATTAAGATGGGTAATCATTTTCCAAAAAAAGAAAGTGACATGAGATGTGGGACGGACAGAAACGACAACATGGTAAGTGGGACGGAGGGAGTAATTTTTTATTTATTATATTACACTAAATTTTTATTTTTCATTCAAAATATAATATCAATACATATTTATATCACATTAAACAACTATTTCAATTCAAATACTATTTTAAAAAAAAAATAAATCAAAATATTACAAGTAAACACACCCAAAGTATAAATATTTTTATTTTGAATTCTCCAATTACAAAGTAATCATTTTTCTTAGGGCCGTCTTGGACTTTTTTGGGACCCTGAGCGAAAAATTAATTATAGGCCCCTATAAACACATGATTAAAATGTATTTTCAAAATAATATTACTGATTGACGTCGATTGGACAAGAGGTTGAATGCAACGGTTTGGGTAGTATTTGAGAAAAGAAAATAAAAGACGAACTATCCGAAGGTTCCAAAAACAAGGACTGAATGAGGGTGAAAGAGAGAAAAAAGAGAAGGTGGGGCAGGTTGGGTTTGAGTGGGTAGATGCAGTGCGACAGGGTGTGAGGTAGAGAAACGTAGACGATGATTAAATTTGTTAAATGAAATAAGATATAGTTAGGAAGAAGAGATATAAAAGTACATATTATCAGAGTTTAAAATTTAATTTTAAAATTAAATTGAATAATTATGAAGAAAAAAAAATATAAACTAAATGTTAAAATATAATAATAATAATAATAATAATAATAATAATAATAATGGATAATACAATTTTAAAATATGGGCCTCCGTTAATTAAGGGCTCTGAGGAGTCGCTCACCCTGCTCCCGCTAGGAGCCGCCCCAGAATTTTTTTATAATAACTATAGATTTCATATTTTTTTTCTACAAATACTTTTATTTTACCACCCTAAGTTGATGAATGAAATATCGAATTTTTATAAGTAATAATATATATATATATATATTATATTTCGTTAATGCATGTGTCTTTATAATTTATTTAATAATATTTATGTATCGTGTTATAAAATTAAATGAACAAATACATTATTTTACATTTAAACAATGTGGATGACCTATAAATATATATATATAGGTATATGATGCGTTTACTTTATAGAATGTAGTATATATATTATTCTAATGAATTATATAATCATATATTAATAAATAATTCAATATTTAGTAGAATTAATTATTGTATAAGATTTTTAATTTTGTTAAAATATCTTTAATTACATGATAAAATTAATAATAAATTAAATATTAATAAAAGAAAAAATAATCTTTTCACATTCATTACACCTTAATACCGCTTATAAGAGAATAATGAAAAATTCTTAATTATAATATTATTATACCGGGTTTTACCTTATTCCGGATTATAATAATGTATAGTAAACACATGATATATTGTATAAAATAATACTCCCTCGGTCCCAATACAATAGTCTTATTTACCATTTTTGTTCGTTCCAAAGCAATAGTCTCATTTCCATAAATAACCATATCACCATAAAATTATCCTTACTTTTTCATTATTATTACACAATTGCCACTATTTTTTACACTAATATAATTACAAGGACAAAAAATTCATTTATCCGTATTTTTTACCAACCACCAATATAATATCAATATTCCTTAAATCCCGTGTCCAACACAATAAGACTATACTTTTGGGACGGAGGGAGTATTATATACTTTAATCATTTAAAGTAAACGCATCAATAGTATATTAGTCCCAATGTCATTCAAATTTGTGTTTATTTTTCTTTTTTGATCATCATAAAAAAACTATTTCCGATCATTTCTTTAGTGAAAAGTAGTTTTTTTTTTATTATAAAAGAATCTTTTTTATTTTTTACTTTTTTACTTATTTTTATAAAACTCTTTGTCCAGTCAAATGAACATAAATTTCGATAATCAAATAGTATTTGATATTGAGGTCATGTAGTCTTCTTGACTTTGCATGCACCTGGAAGTTTCCATGAAAGTGTGTCAATTGTGTCCCTCTAATTTCCACGAATTTATCTTCTTCAATTTCAATTTCAATTTCTCCCCTTAAATACCTCTAATGTCGTCCTCCAATTTTCACCAAAATCACATATACATACATAAAGAAATATAGATATATATATATATATTGAAAAAGAAGAAGAAATAAAGAAGAAGAAGATGGATAGTGATCCATTATTGCCAGGTTTCAGATTCTATCCTACTGAAGAAGAGCTTGTCTCATTCTATCTTTACCATAAAATCCGAGGAACCCGAACCAACCTCGACCGGGTTATCCCCGTCGTCGATATTTACGACTACAATCCTTGGGATCTTCCAGGTACTCAATTCAATACACAACCATTTCTTATTTTTCAGACGACATTTTTCTCTTTTCTTTAAAAAAAAAATAATAATTTCATGATCATGAATAATTATAGAATAAAAATGAGTAAGTTCAAAATTTTTGATATATATATATATATATATAAAGAGAATAAACTTTATTTGTTTTAGGTTAATCCTTAGGATTTTTCAATGCATATAGTGAACAAGCTTTATTTTATGGGTTATTTTGAGACAATCTCTATATATCTATCTATCTATCTAATCCAACACACATATATACAAGAGCATAGAATCAATATTTAAAATTTCCCCATATTTATTGGGATTGTTAATCGATATATATTTATGAAAATTACCAAAATTTAATCATATATTCCATCCGTCCTGGGACGTCCAATTACAAAGTAAATATTTTATTAAATAAGTTATTTCTTTTTCTATAAATACTTTTATTTTACATTACATCATTACTTTTACACAAAAAAAAAAAACAAAAACAAAAATGTCATTACACTACTTTTAACTACTTACTATAATTAAACAAAAATGTCATTACACTACTTTTAACTACTTACTATAATTAAGATACTATTATTTCTTAAACACCGCGCCAAAAATAAATGTTTACTTTATCTGTGGCAAGAGGGAGTATAATATATTGGAAAGACGGAAAAAGTTCTTTGTTCGGACAACACCAGAGTTTTATATTTTTAAACATTTTTTTTTACCATACAATTTTTATTTTTATTTTTATTTTTTTAAAAACATACTATAATATATATATATATACATTGTTTTTTTTTAAAAAAAAAAAACCCAAACATTACATCTAATCATTACTTAAACATAAAATACCAATAATATTTACTTATTTTCATAAATTTTGTAACCCTACAATTTATACATAATTTTCCCTTTTATAAAATACACTCAACTTTGTACAGAGGAGAGTATATATATATATACATATACATATATATATATATATTTATTTATTTCGTAAAAATCACGTTTTATTTAATTAAACTATTATTCAATTAAACTATAAAATAATTTATTTATTTTTTTTATACAGAATTTGCCGGGGAGCTATGCCGACAAGACAATGAACAGTGGTTTTTCTTTATCCCCCGGCAAGAAAGAGAGGCGCGCGGTGGAAGGCCTAACCGGCTAACCACCGAGGGCTATTGGAAGGCCACGGGGTCTCCCGGAGAAGTTTACTCCTCCACGGATCACACCGTCATTGGCCGGAAAAGAACAATGGTGTTCTACATCGGAAGGGCTCCAAATGGCCACAAAACCGTTTGGAAAATGAATGAATATAAAGCGCTTTACGCTCCTTCCGATCACGCCTCTTCTTCGTCGTCCACACCCATTGTTCATCCCCGGGTTAGAATTTTTATTACATAATTGTTTATTTACTTTTTTTTTTTTTAATTAGAAAGTTTATAAACAACATATACATTTTATTTTATTTTTTGTTTTATAAATGAAGAAGAGTTTCGGAGAAATGTGTAAATACATATTTTTTCAACGTACATTTCTTATTAGATGCAAATTTTATAATACAATAGTATTATATATATATGTTTTGATGATAATAATAATTTATTATTTAGTTCGATTTCATTTAAATAGTCTCATTTTTTAATTTCTATTTAAGGTTATTATATCTAAATGGTGTAATTATTTTCATTTATAGTGTGTTTGGTTTTTACATTGTTATTTACCAACATATAATCAACATATTAGGTATTTTAGATTTTACTTTTATTTTATACAAATTCACTTACAAATATAATACTATTTTTTTCTTTAATTTATTATAATTTATTTATTTTTTAATGACATGAAAATCCGCAGCAGCTAATCGAAAATTCCTACTGAGTAAACCTTCGGCCGAACCTAATACCCTGCAATTTTTTTTTATTAAGTGGATAATAGAAGTATTTTATTAAAGATGTGTTTCTTTATTGTCAATTATTTTTTAAAAATTTTACTATTTGTACTATATATTTTTTAAAAACATATATATTTTTTCTTACAAAAACATCTATCTTATCAAATATTATTGTAATATCAAAATAAAATTAATTTTTTCCAAACTCACGGAAGGTTAGGGTTTTTGTATTTGTATGTAAATAATATTTACAATATTTCAGGTAAGGGAAGGATTGAGCATATGCAGGCTGTACAAGAGGTCCAGGACCTTGAGGGCGTTCGACCGCCGCCCGTTTTCCGACACGGCGGCGGCCGCAAACTTTCAGCAGTATTATGATTCTCAGCCTGCCATGGCGGCGGCGCCGACTGATCAGTGGTCACTGGACAGCTCATCCTCTGGGCGGCGCAGTGGAGGCGCGCCGCCGCCGGAGAATGAAAACAATCCGGCGGAGAGTGAAGCATGGTGGAATTCGGAGGACTTTGATTTTTCAGACTTATAAATATATTTAATTTAAGAAATTGAGAGTGGGCTTAAATTTTGGTTTTAAAATTAAGATTAATATTATCTTCGAATGATTTATATATGAGTTTTTGTGTTGAGGATATTGATTGATGTTGTAATGTTTGCAGAAAATAATGATTATACTCCATCCCTCCCACATAATTTGTCCTTATTTTCTATTTTCGTCAGTTCCACATAACTTGTCATTTCTAATTTTGAAAATATAATTATTCACTTTAATCGCATTTTAAATTTTATAATTTTCTTAATTTTAATTAAACTATTTACTTATCTTAATTTTAATATATAATTATTTTTACTAATATATTTCTTAATTACTTATTGATTATACTTTAACTAAATTTTCGTATCTACAATAATACACTCATATTACATGGGACGGAGAGAGTATATACTTTTGTTTTTTTTATTTCAATTTTTTTTTTCACATTTTTTTAAAAAAATAAATTAATATACTGTACACTTTCCTTATTTTTAAAGTTTTGCCTTCAATCAAATATATATACTTTTATAAAAGTATTATGTTTAAGTATTTGAGTGTGCTTGTTTTGTGTTTTGGTTTGATAGTTTTTTAATGTTAAATTTGAAATACATGTGATAATATAAAAAATAATATATTGTATTATATTATTAAATTTTTAATTAATACTCCCTCTGTACAAAACACTTTGCAATATTTTTTATTTTTTTTGTCTAAATTCACTGCAATATTTTCAAAATTAGAAATAATTAATAATATTTATATACATATATTAATATACACATCACTTTATCCATCACATTACTCAAATGAAAAAACAAATAATCATTTTTCTCTCCAATCACATTACTTAATATCCAAATTATCTCAAATTACTATACTTAATACTCCATACCTAAATTATCGTGTCAAACACAAATGTTGCACGGTATTTGGGACGGAGGAAGTATAATATATATCGTATATTTATGTAAAAAATATGTACATATGATTTTTTTTTTTTATAATATCAATCGAAAAAATATGTCAATTTTTTTTATTTATTAAAAGAGCGTACCTTTTGTATTTTTGGAGTTTACTCATAATGTTTTTTTTTTTTTAATAAAAATAATCTATATATCTCCTCGTAAAATAATCCATATTGTGCAAAGCTAAATTCTATGTAAAGAATGTATATATTTCTAAAATTAAAATGATTTATTCTTTTTGTTTTTTAAATCAAAAATTTGTTTTTTTAACAAAATATCAAATCAAAATATTATTTAAATAAAAATTCAAATTAATACTTTATTTCAAATCAATGTTCAAATAAACACGACCGTTGTCAGTCAATGTTAACTACTATTAGAGTAAAATTTATAAATTTTAGTTTGAATGACACCAAAATTAATAAAAAAAAAATATCGATGAAACTAAAATTAATAATTATAATATATAATGAGAACAAAATTAATTTTTAATCTTAATGTAATTATAACTGTGCTGACCACACTAACATGTATATATATATATATATATTCTTCATAAAGTAAACGCAGTTGGACTGTAGTGGATTAGGGAAATGAATAATTGAATATGCCTTTCTCATAACTAAAAAATGTGAACAATCAATTTATTTCTTTAACTCCTCAATTTCTATTTCAATGTTTTGAAATATTCCCTTTAATTTGACTAAATATATTAATTAACAAATTTCCTTCTTTCCATCAACTGTTCCACAGCACACATAAAGTCGTACCATTATTATATTCTTAGTATTTTATTCAATAAAATAAACATAATATATATATATATATTTTCTTATAATTTTTATGTAAAATTCAAAGATGACAAATACACATCCGTGCACATAAATTTTTTAGTTTCATTACCATGCATTTTAAAGATTTTCTATAATAATAATAAGATATCACAACAAATCTATTATTATTTTTAATCACAAAGTAATTAATAATAAGACTAAATTGTACCTGATTTCACTAAATTGCACCAAATTTCCCGTGCTTTTAAAACTGTGTGTAACCCCATCGGCGGCCTTTATTTAATGGTATTTAATATAAATGCGCCCAAACTGCAAATAAATTTTAGAATATCAATTTCAACCTCTAAAATTTATGAAATCACGAGAGAGTTTGACACAATTTTAAAAGTATAAGGAATTTTAAGCAATTTTATGAAACCATATAGATGATTTTGTGCAATTTAGCGTAATAAATATAAACAATCTAAAGCTCATGTTTATTGTTCATCTATTAGGCATCACATTAGCACACTTATTTGTATTTTCAACATTTTATTTCCCATTATTTACAAAAAAAAAATATATTTTCAATCTAAGCCATTCTTCATAATATTATAAAAATAATAATTAATATATAAATATTTTTTTATAATTTGAATAGCTTAATTTAGTCCACCATTAACTAAAATGGAGTTTCTTCTTCAATTCCATATCTGCTCCAACAAAAAGTGATCAACAACTACTCTTCTTGCTCCATTACCAATTTTCAAATTCAATCCCTAATTCAATTCTCTGTGTTTCTGATCTTTCTACCTACCCAATGTTCTCATTCGATTCCTATAAATTCTCGTGTTTCTGTTCACCTACGCATCAATCAGCATTATTATTCTCAATCCTCTAAGGCAGTAGCAGTAACAGCACAGAATCAATTCATTCGATCCATCAATGGAGAAAAGCGATGCAGCAACGATTGAAATTGCAGAAACCAGCAGGGAAAGGAAGGGGAAATTACCTTTTTCAGGCGCTCCGGCGGCGGCGCTAGGGCGTGTGAAGGCGGCAAGAGGACACAACCGCGGCATCGGGATATTCGACCTTATTCTCCGAATCTGCGCGGCGGTTACGACCTTGGCCGCAGCCGTTGCCATGGCGACCGCCGAAGAAACGCTTCCGTTTTTCACTCAGTTCTTCCAGTTCGACGCCGGATACGACGATATGCCGACGTTCTCGTAAGTCCTCTCTAAATCTCCCGACGATAACTTAGATTAAAAAAATCTGCGGAAAACTAATTGAAATCAATCGCGAATCGAATTCAAAAATTGATTCTACCTTTCGTTGCGAACTAATTGAAATCAACCGCGAATGGAATTCAAAAATTGATTCAACCTTTTGTTGTTGATTCTACCAACCTTTTGTTGACGATGATGCTCTGCAGATTCTTCGTCATAGCCATGGCGATCGTCACCGGTTACCTTTTCCTCTCCGTACCGTTCTCCATAGTCTGCATTATCCGGCCGATCGCCACCGGACCGAGGATGCTCCTCATGCTATTCGACACAGTAAATACTTGCGCAACACTTCACACCTATATATATACATGCATACATGCGAGGGTAAAAATGTAATTTCACTAATGACGGTACATTTTGGAACAATCTAGATGATGCTCACTCTAGCAACCTCCGCCTCCGCCGCCGCGGCGGCGATAGTGTACCTGGCGCACAACGGCAACTCGTCGGCGAATTGGCTGGCGATATGCCAGCTGTACTCCGATTTCTGCCAGAAGGTGAGCGGAGCGGCGGTGGCAGGCTTCGTCGGCGTCGGAGTTCTTATTCTCCTGGTGCTGGCCTCCGCCATAGCAATGAGAAGACATTGACGAAGGACAACGGTGCCGGAATTTGTGGTGGTGCATATTATATATATATATATATATTTGGATCCTCATTTGCTTTAAATTTATATATCTTACTTCGATGTAATTCGTCGATTTGGTTATTCTTCCTTTTTTCTTTTTTTATTTGATTTGTGATTGTTGGTTGGTATGAAAGATGATTCTTGTGTATCTCTGATTCTGTGATGGTTGATTGACACACAGCAAAATGTACAATTTGCACTCATTTCTCATCTTTTCTTCTTCAAGAACTACTGCTGAGTTCATCATATATATATATATACACATACACTCTCTTTTTCCTTAAATCTATTTATCCATGTTTTTTAATATTAATATTATATTAACATTTATATTTATAAAAAAATAAAAATTGAATATGATATTTTATAAAATATATATTATATATATACACATGAGTAATAAAATACTCTATCCGTCCTTGAATGTTACACTGCCTATTTTATGAATGGTGTAATTAGTAGATAATTAAAAATGTATTAGTTAAAATAATTATTCTATAATATAAATAATTATAAATTAATATTAAAATAATTAATTAGTTTAATTAAATTTTAAAAAATTTAAATTAAAAAATTTAAAATGAGATTAAAGTGTGTAATAATTTTTCAAAAAAAAAAAATGACATGGTATGTGGGACGAATGGAAACGACAACGTGGACATGATATCTGAGAGTGAGGGAGTAATAAAATTGATGAAATATATGTTAGCATAGCCTAATTTCACAAAATAAATCTCTCTCCTTATTTATATGCAACACAATAATTGAAGCACTAATGCAATTTTATCGTTTAAAAATATTAAAATTGTTGCCTATATTATAAAATATTTTTAAAATAAAAGAAGCAACAGTTATTCAAGCCATTATTATAAAAATTATTAAAAAAATAAAAGTATATTTATTTTACAAACAAAGAGAGGAAGTACTGTTTCTTTTTTTTTTTTTTTTTGTCTATACAATACAATAAAATCGATATATTTTTTTTAAAACTTAGCTATAAAATATATATATTTTTTAAATAAAAAGAGGTGTGATTTTAGAGTGTATTGTTTGAAGGATTTGGGGCTGATGACTCCAAATATGAGCATATTCTTAGTTTGAAAAAATTATGTATTACAAGAATTTCTGAATAAAAACCATCGTAATAACTCATTAATGGCATATATTATTGATCTATATCGCTTAGCATGATCCAGAGTTCGTTGTTGAGATTATTAACGATTTTTGTCCTTTTTAAGCGAAAGTCTGGTGCCAAAAAAGCTAAGACATGCGCCACAAGCGGTAGCCACCTCCGCTCGCAAGCGCCCAAAATACCTCCTAAAAAAGACTAAGGCATGAGAGGCAAGCGGTGGCTTCCACCGCTTACAAACGATAGCCTCTCCCGTTTGTAAGCGACTGCTCAGACGCCCACCGCTGTAAAATGTCAGTAGATTTTGACTAAATGTTCCAACTGCAGCGGTGCAGCCATTTCACTTCCAGCCAACACAAGCGAGCCAAGCTACGCAGCCTGCGCTGATGCCCTCCAGTTTCCCGGCAAACAAGAAAGATCTGTGCCTTTACAATTCAATGCAAGCGAAGCGGGTACCTTGGAAGTTGTGGCCAGCAACTGCTTCAACAAATTAACTTCCATCAATCGCCTAACTACCCAACGGTTGGAACCGCCCAGTAACCGCTTGTAATTGTTCCGTTTCATGTACTGTATAAATAGACCCAGATACTCTTATGTAGGGGATTCGATTTTGAAGTATTTTTTTAGCAATTACTTCTGCGCAGTCCAGTTGTCTTTCTGTCTCCGAGAGCTTCAACCCTATAAGGGAGTTCTCAACAAGAATGGCCAAGGGAGTAGGATTTCCCTCCTCCCTTGGCCAAGTCTTTACCGTTTTTTTAGATTAGGTTACTGCTTCTAATTACAGCTTTGTAGTTTTAGTCTTTCCAGCTTTAGTAGTAAGTGATAGAAATATCATTCGGTTCTTCATATATATATATATATATATCTCCTCCACACTTATTCATATTTATATAAACTTTGAATTTAAAGATTTCATTTCACTGGTTTATAGCTTGATTAATCTGAGCCTTATTTTGCACTATTTTTAAATTTTTATATCTAGGCTAATTGTCTTATATTTTGGATGAATAGAGTAGTATTTTTTTATATCAAATTAAAATATTATTTAAATAAAAATATATCACACAAATCCTCTATATATATATTTATGTAATGTGTGTGTGTGTGTGTTTTTTTTTATATATACAAATAAGTAAGTGGATATTTAATAGAATTCTTGATTTTTTTCATTGGATAAAAATATGTATTTTTTTATAATATTATTAGAAAAATATTACTACATTCGTCCTATTTAACTTGTCTACTTTTTTTTTCATATTCGTCCGTCTCACGTAAATTATTTTTTTTTAAATATAATTATACATTTTAATTATATTTTAAAATTTTAAATTTAATTTTTTTTTATTAATTAAACTATTTAAGTATATTAATTTTAATTTATAATTATTTTTATTGGATCATAATTATTTTTACTAATATATTTTATAATTATTTATTAATTATATAATATATAAACTCCGTGCCCAAGGGAACAAATTAGCTGGGACAAAAACAATAATTAATTAACAATCGAAAGTGCATTACATGTATGGTGAGCTTAAATAAAATTGACAAGAGATTTAGAAAAGCACAATAAAATATTACTAATATATTCATTTAATTTATGTAGAGTTAAATACAGAACCATTCACCATTCACTTTAGATGAAAGTTTATAAATTTTTATAAAAATTCAGAATAATAAAAAAAATGAATATTTAATGCAATATTTTATAAAATAAAAAAATTTGTAATATACTATATTTAAAAAATTATAATATTATTAATAATATCAAAATTAAAAAAAAACTAATTTTTACAAAAATGTCATCTTGCAAAAAAGTGAAAAATATTCTAATATGAAACAGTCCAAACTCCAATACCGGTCATAAAAAATACTCCTAACTAATTGTTTGCAGGGTACTAACTACTAAGTGCGGCTAGGAGTTTACCAGATGCCCACTTTCGGGTAATGATTGCGGATTTTTACGTTATAGAAATTTTTTTTAACTAATTAGTAAATAAGTAGAATTAAGTGTACCAAAAAAAAGAACATTCTTAGTTTTTTTTTTTTTAAAAAAATTATTTTTATTAGTTTATTACAAATGTATGTGTTGTCGGCTGCTTGTACTTAGGGATTTATTTAGACATATATTAAAAAATATATTTATGAAGTTTTAAATATTTTAAAATAATTAAAAAATTCAAATATTTGAGGTAAAATTTATGATAAAAATAAATTAATATGTGATATAAAAAAATTAAAATAAAATTTCAAGTAAATACTGTCTTTTATGTTTTGGATATAAAACTTTTTGAATTTTGGTACAAATTTTTTTTGTAAAATAAATATAAAATATAATAAAATATTTTTATTGATTGTCAATAACATGAACATTAGAGGGGTGTATTCAATTAGAATTTTAATGAATTTGTTTAGATTTTGAAAAGTTCGTAAGTTTGAGTGAAATTATAAATTATATAGAATCTATGTAGAACTTAATTGATTTTATCTATTGATTTATATGAATTTTGATAAATTTGATTTGATTATTTATTTATTTCTCTAGACTTGATTAGAGTTTATAAATTGTGGATTAAATATTTTTTTTTTCGTGATTTATATAATTTCAAATATATACAGTACTTGTATGTATATAAAAAAATTCAAATATTTAACAAAAATATTAAAAGTACATTAGTTCTCAAAAAATATATTTATTATTATTCTCATTTTTATTTTAGTTTAATAATAATAATATTTTAGATTTATATTTTTTGTTATAGTATTATTTAATCGGATTTATTACATTATATATATTCAGCTCAATTAGTTTTTATTTTGTAACAATTTATTTAATTGTTATTATTATTATTATTTATTTGAATTTTTATACAAAAAATATAAATAAAATAACATTAAAATTAAAAATAAAATAATTAAAAATGAATAAACATAAACTAACATTTTCAAATATAATCGGTGGTTTTTGAACCGACATAACTGAAATTGAAATAAGAAAATATAAATTAAAATTATTGAAAATTTAATTTTGATTTGACATTTCCAAACATTAAAACTGATAATTTTAATCCAAACTATTTGAACAAGTTTATTTGTTATTTTTTTTATATATATATATAATTTTTAATATTATTTCAAATATATAAAAATTTAAAATATTTGTAATTTTTATATTAGACATAATTTTTTTTTTTTATCTTATTGATATTATTATAATAAAATAATAACTACATATAAAATAATAAATAGTTATTAATGCTATAAATAAGATAATATGTATATTGTTAGTAATTTTGAGAATCCATTGAAATCTCACCTTATAACAAGAGATTCTATAAAGTGTAATTTGTTAACAATTTTATTAAAGAATCCAACAAAATCCATGGATTTTTAAAGTTAATGGATTCTTGAATACATTAAAATTTTAAAAGACTTTTTAAAATCTGAATTGAATACATTCAAAATTTAAAAGTCTTTTTAAAATCCGAATTGAATACACCAAAATTTTAAAAGTACAGTAAAATCCAATAAAATCTCTATTGAATACACTCCATAAATGTGCAATTACGTTGTAATTTTATTATATATTAAAAAATATTTAAACAATTTCTTTTTTTAAAAAAAATTGCACTAGGCACGGTTCGGCCAAAATCTTTTGAGCTTAAGTTTTAGATTCAAATTTTTATCTTTCGTTTTCTGATTTTTGAATAAAAAAATATCATAATGTTTATCTAACATTTTTTAATGGAATAAATTTTCATAAATATTATTAAATAAAAGTAACAATATTTTATTAGATATTTTATTGGGCTGGAGTTACTGGACTGACAAAGATAACGGGTGCGTTTGTTTGGAGGTTTGGATTTTGAGTTGAGATTTAAATACTAGAAATTTTAAATTTGAATAATTGTATGATGCGATATAAATAGGTGTTGATTTGATGTTTTGGATGTAAAATTAATTTTTAGTATAATATAAAAAATAAAAAATATGTATTTAATTTGATATTTTTGAAAAAATAAATAAATAGGATGAACAGTGAATTTAAAATCCATTACCCCAAACAAACACATAATTACTATGCCAGAACCCATTTTTAGTTTAGGCCCATACAATAAACAACTCATTTAAAGTCCTTATTATGGGTGTGTTTGTTTGGGAAATTGGATTTAACTATTCATCCAATTTTTTTTCCAAAAAACATCAAATCAAACATTTATTTTTTTATTTTTTATATTATACTAAAAATCAATTTTATATTTAAAACATTACATCAATATCTATTTATATCACATTATACAACTATTTAAATTCAAAATTTTAACTATTCAAATCCCAATTCAAAATTCAACCCCAAACAAACACACCCATAGTTACTCTGGCAGAACCACAAACAACACTACCAATCACTTTTCCACACTTCCGATTTGCGACTTTAACAGAAATGGCGACAAAATCGCTATTGTTCCAAACCACGATTTCAGATCTGAAGCATCTCCAATGGCGTAGCAATGCCAATGCGCTCTGCCGCCTGACATTCGCGCGACCTCCTCTTCTTCCTCATCATACTTCTCTTCTTCCTCGTTCTCCTCCTCCGCTGTACCGTCGTCTTCATCTTCCTCATTCTCCTCCTCCTCTGCTCCGACACCGTCTACGCACTCTATTCTCTACTATGTCCTCGATGAACTCGCCGCAGGAGGAGGCCTCTGTCAAAACAGTAAGCGATTTCTCAATTTCATTAATAGATTTCTGTTTCGTTCTAATTTGGTGTTTGAATCAGGTGAGAATGGTGATAAGGGGGAGAGTGCAAGGTGCGTCGGATCTATCGGAATTGGGCGATTGATAATGCGAAGGAGTTAGGGTTGAAAGGTTGGGTTCGGAACCGCCGGGATGGATCTGTGGAGGCGTTGTTTTCGGGAGATGGAGCAGCGGTGTAGGAGAGGTCTTCCTGATGCTATGGTGACTGGAATTCAGGCATTTCATTTCCGAGCACGGATGATCCTGGGAATGAATTCGACTGTGTGAATGAATGAATCAGCGATTCTGATCAGGTATGAATTCGAAGCTCTCCTTGTTCCAGTTAATAATACAACTTTATGCTGATCATCTTGTGAGTATGGTAGCATTTTGGGCGTAGATGCTTTGATTATCTTCCTCCATGATTCAGTCGGTTGATTTTGGTTTATTTGCCTGGTTGAAATTTGACTGGCTTAATTTTTGTTTTGCTCTGCTCCTTAACTCTGTCCAAATTAGGTTTTAGCTCCGAATATTCACTTTATCTATAAATTTGGGTAACACGATTTGAAGTTGGTAGATTAATTCTTTCTTATTGATTAAATTGCATCCATTGAATGAATTCTGCTAAGTTGTTGTTCTTAGCTCTAACCATAGTTGGTTGCAGAGCCTGTAGGTTATCTAAATGAATCATAATATTGCCTTAGAAGGTGCAAATTCTTACAGCGGTTGTTTATTTAGTGTTAGCATTTAGCACAGTCAGATTTTGGATATGTTTAAGAAATTGTTAGTGTTCTTATCTTTTCGAATGGTTTAAGCTTCCAAACTAGGTTTGGGATGAGATATGCAGTACATTTGAAAGTATCTGAAGTTTTCATTTGATTCGATTCTTGTAAATTTGGTTTTAAGTTTTCACTTCAATGGGGTTATTGCAGGTGGTATGGGTGGACACACAAGTAGATTTTAAGGTTTACATGATTTTTTTTTTTCTATTTTCGTAATGCATATGAAGATTTGCCTCTGTTTTTCATGCAATGATTTGGATATTATTTTGTATTTAGAGTACTTCAGTAGCTGTGAAGTTTAAGAACAAAATTTGGTTGGAGCTTAATTATTGGCTTGAGGTTGAGGACAGTAGGAAAATTTTGATTTAGCTTGTCAAAATAGTTGTTGAGATCTAAGCTTTCGACTCCCACTAGTATGTTTTCTTTCCGGCTTTACTTGTTTCTTTGATCAAATAAGATTTCTCAATTACTACATATTTTTCTAGTTGGTGTTTGTGTGTGTTTAACAATGAATTCAGAAATCATTGCCAAGGAACTCATCATGTGTGTGTTTGTGTGTTTAAATGAAATCAGAAATCATCTTGTGCCTAGTGTTAGTATTATTTATTGACACTAACTACTACAAGTAAAGGAACCCAACTCCCAAAAGTAGCTGTCGGCGCAGGAAGGATGCTGCCAAGGCCTGCAGTGCCAGCCATCGAAGACTTCTCTAACGAATTCTTCTACTTCAGGCAGAGGGCAATCCAGTAGCGTTGTTCAGGGTTTAGGGAAACCAACAGGATTACGAATGCCTTCTCCCAAAATCGGGTTCTTTGATGGGGTTAGTAATGCATATAAAAGTCCCATTGCAAGTGATCTTAATTACATTTACTGAATTTCGGATATCATACTCTCTGAGCTGTATTACTGAAGTATTCTCTCTTTTTTTTTTTGTCAGGTGAAATCATCCCCTCGCACTCCCAATGGTTTGCGCACCGTGTCACCCAAAAATGGAGTTGCTGCAAGCAGCAGTCCAGGTCGAATCTCTAACCATCCAAGTCTACCTTTCCTTCGTTCTTTTTTCTTCTTGCCCAATCCAAGTCTGTTGGTGATTAGCAATTAAGGAAACCATTAGTCATAAGATCTTTTAAAATCTTATTATTATGACCGTTATGGTCTCTATTTATTTTTACAAGTAATTTTTTTTTTTTAAATCTCTATAATTAAAAAATATTTATATTATATATATATTACTATAATACTAATGAAATCATTATGATAAAAAAAAACTTTTAAAATATGACCGTTTTGTTTCTATTTATTTTTAGAAATGATTTTTTAAAATTTAAAAATATTAATATTTTTATATTTATAATACTAATGAAATCACTAGTGATCGGACGTACCTCTCGAGCATGTAAAATCCTGCAAAATTTAATATTATTTTTTTATTATTGTTACACAAATGCTACTACTTTTTATGCTTATATTTTTTACCAACTATTAATATAATATCAATATTCTTTAAATTTTGTGTGCAACCCAAATATGACCATAGTTTTTTAGCAGAGGAGATTAGTATTTATTATATATTGTTTTTAATATGAAATATTCTGATCTTTTTATTTTATTTTATTTTATTTTTTATAGCTTCATTTTTTTTCTTTTTTATAATTAAAAAACAATTATAAAACTATTGCAAATAAAAAGTAAAGAGAGGAGGACTATAAATTTTTTTTTTATCTAAATTATATTATTTGAATGCAATATTTATCTTCTCAATTAATAAATTTTAGTTCCTCTTACAAATATAACTATTGCAAATAAACCCAGGGGTATTGCAGGTATGCGTAGTCGAATGTGTGTTTGAAGTATTGCAACGTGTTATTTAAATGGTTGTGTACTTTTTGTTACCTTCTGAGTTTTATAATAAAAAATGTACAAAAAGAGTAATATGGTTTCTAGTATTCGTGTCTATGTATGAACATTAATTTTTTGTCCACTAATTGCTGAACATATTTTCATAAGGCAAATGGGTCAAATTTTATTAAAATGTTTAAAATAGTTGTCATGTTGTGCTTAATAATTTTCTCACGGGCATTTTTTTTCTTCCCCTGAGTTATGTTGGCACATTAAAGATGGTATGGACAAATTGTTTGCGAGCTGATACTAAGTAGTCTTAGTTTAGAGAATTGGTAAACTGTATTTCGTAATAATAATGCTTTGGACAATTTCATAATAATAGATATTTGAAAAACCAGTGTAGGCATGATTTGTGTTTTTTTTTTTTTTTTTACTTATTTCTTACTTTGAAGAGGTATATGTAAAAGCATTGGAAAATGACTTCTCTGGTGCACCATTGCAGTTCGATACAAAGGTATTGCTGGAATAAGCTTCAGCATATCAGCGGATTTAAAGAAAAAAGCTTTCAGCATATCGGTGGATTCATATTTCAAGGTATCTTGCTTTTATTATTTGAGAAAGTTGATATCATATTTGAAAAAAAAATGTGGCAATTTAAAGCTGGTATTACTCCCCCCACCACGCAAAAAATTAGTGCATTTTTTGCGAGGGAGGGAGTAATATTTTTTGGGTTGGCTCGGGCTGTTTTAAAATTCAAGCCCGATAGGTTCGGCCTGATTTTGCATTGGGCTTGAAAACCCAAACCAAGGCATGGCCCGGTTTCAAATTATACCGGGCCAGGCCAGCCCAACGCAGATTTTTAATATTAGATTTTAAAAATAATATATCATTTTTTATTAGATAATAAATTATATTAATCTAAATTGATATAATTAGGACAAAGTATTTTATTGATAATTAAGAATTTAAACATTAATTAATTATTAATTTTATTATATAGTTAATATTATATTAAAAAATATTTTTTCTTAGAATATTTTAATCAACTAGACCCTGCTAGGCACGTCATAATTTGCATAGGCCTCAAACCAGTTTGGTTATTCAACCATACCGGCTTGGCCTGACCTAAAAATAGCTTGGAACTATTTTTTAGACCCAAATCTTTATTTGTTCGTGCCGAATATGGATTTGATAGTAGTAGACTCCACATAAACTTTACCTACAAACTAAATACACATTAAAACAAATAAGGACAAAATTTAGAAACAAAATTAATACATCCAAGTCCGGGGACCTAAACATAATTCTATTATTATATGTAAGATGCTAATATAAATGCAATGCGAAGATATAAACGAAAAACGACTAACTACTCTATATTTTCGGTCATCCGATCATCTGCCCGCTCCCTCTCTTATGCATCTAAAAAGATTTAAAATAGATATTAGTATATATATATATAAGAAACAACAAAATAATAATAAAACCACTTACCTTGGGTTTGAAATCGAGATCGATCTTTGCGGATCCCCTCGTCTCCACATAAGCTTTACCTACAAATTAAAAACACTTGAAAACAAGTTAGTATAAAATATAGAAAAAAAAAAATTAATGCATGCATGTCCCGGGACCGACGTAAAAATAAATCTATTTCTATATGCATAATGCTAAATTAAATTAAATGCATAAATGTAAAAGGAAAGGGACGGATTACTCCCTATGGTGTATTCGGTCGTCCGATCATCCGGCCACTCCTTCTCGTATGCATCTAAAAAGGATTTAAAATAGATATTAGTATATATGTATAGGAAACAAAAAAATAATATTAAAATCACTTACCTTGGATTTGAAATCGAGATCGAAGGATCTTTGCGGATCCCCTCGTCTCCACATAAGCTTTACCTACAAATTAAAAACACTTGAAAACAAGTTAGTATAAAATATAGAAACAAAAAAATTAATGCATGCATGTCCCGGGACCGACGTAAAAATAAATCTATTTCTATATGCATAATGCTAAATTAAATTAAATGCATAAATGTAAAAGGAAAGGGACGGATTACTCCCTATGGTGTATTCGGTCGTCCGATCATCCGGCCACTCCCTCTTGTATGCATCTAAAAAGGATTTAAAATAGATATTAGTATATATGTATAGGAAACAAAAAAATAATATTAAAATCACTTACCTTGGATTTGAAATCGAGATCGAAGGAACTTTGCGGAACCCCTCGTCTCCACATAAGCTTTACCTACAAATTAAAAACACTTGAAAAAAAGTTAGTATAAAATATAGAAACAAAAAAATTAATGCATGCATGTCCCGGGACCGACATTAATGCTAAATTAAATTAAATGCATAAATGTAAAACGAAAGAGACGGATTACTCCCTATGATGTATTCGGTCGTCCGATCATCCGGCCACTCCCTCTCGTATGCATCTAAAAAGATTTAAAATAGATAGTATATATGTATAGGAAACAAAAAAAATAATATTAAATCACTTACCTTGGATTTGAAATCGAGATCGAAGGATCTTTGCGGATCCCCTCGTCTCCACATAAGCTTTACCTACAAATTAAAAACACTTGAAAACAAGTTAGTATAAAATATAGAAACAAAAAAAGTAATGCATGCATGTCCCGGGACCGACGTAAAAATAAATCTATTTCTATATGCATAATGCTAAA